AATTGATTTTCATATTAGTAGTAGAGTCTGTATTGCGAGTTATGAGGCAAATTTAAGGAAATTAAGCTTTCAAGTTTATGCAGAATCCAACTTACCTGGGTCCGCTTCTACCTTCTATCGAATTAAAGTTTTATCATTCTTTTACGCGATCATTATGCCTTTACTTAGTTTATTTTCAAGTGCGCGTTTCTAACTAAAGTTTTATTAAACTGCGTTGATATTTGTACCCGTGATTTTCGTTTCAAACGCGGTCAAATGTGGTGTTTTATACTTGAGTGGAGACCTTCGAAGCGGTTCTCATGGACCTGGGGACCCCTTGAAGGACTGCAATTTTGGATGCTTTAAATCTCTTTTCCAGGTCTCGCAGCTGTCGGAATGAACAAGTAATATATATTTTTTATTCTGGTTATGTTAAGAATAAGTAAGTGTGCATGCTAAATGGTGAGATACTGTTGTGTTCCTGACTGCCGCTCTAATGGACCCGGCTCTCCTCCTGTGTCCACCTTCCAATTCCCCAAAAACGAGCAGCTGAGAAACAAGTGGCTTCACTACATCTGGAGAGAAGATCTACGCGGTAAAGTTACCAAATACCATGTCGTTTGCATTAAGCATTTTGCTCCACAGCACATTATCTGCTCTGATTTTATAAATACCGCAGAAAATGGCTTTATTGAATTGCCTCGCAGAGTCCCCAAGCTAACCGATGAAGCCTTCCCTTCTTTATTTCCGGATTGGCCCCCTGAACACTCTACTGACCTACCCCAATGCGAGAGAACACCTGAGGCTCATGCCCAAGCCGTAGCCGCAGATTTAGCTGATAAGAGAGTTGCTCTAGCAGCAAGAAGAGAAGCGATCCAAGCAGATCGCATTCTAAGTTTTGAGGAATTAAGAACTGCAAAGGTTAAAGAGTTCACTAATTTTCTCACTTTTCAAGCGGAAAACCATGTTCTATTCTACCTCTTGGATGATGTAAATTTCCACTCACTACCCAAAATCAAAGTTGCGTTTAAGATAAGTCAAGATTTTAGTGTTAAAATCATTCAAAATAATGAAATCACAGTACCAAGTATATTGCAGCAGATCCTGGGCTCAAGCTTGAAATGTGAAAAATGGAGCAAGCTCAAAAGTCTTGAAGACACCAGTAAGTTCAAAGTCTTGCCCTGAGCTTCCAAAAAGTTTCTCTCTGAGAGAAGCTGATTTTTCTTCAGACAGTTCCTTACTTGTCAATAGTTTTCGATACAGCGATTGTGACACCAACCTAGTTTTCATCCTGTCATATTCAGTAGTCTCATTCTAGTCATCATTTTAATCATACTTTGGAATCTAGATTAAGTCTTTTAAAAGTGAGAAGTATCGACTGACGAATAAAAAATTGAAGAAAATCGCCAAACAGTACAAAGGCACACCAATCATTGTCAGCACTGAGAAAATTATAATGCTGAAACTCAGCATTCATGTGTGAAGTGAAAAAATAGTATCTTCTTCTTATCGCAGTACACTTACCCTAATTAATTTTCCCTCTTGTTTCTCATTTTTTGCAAATGTATTCGTGTCATCACAATGCCAGCCTTGTTTCTAAGTCAGGTCATTGGTGGCAGCCTAAATCATAAGACAATTTTCCCAATCAAGAATATCTTTGCCATATTCAGGTGAGTAGAGTTGTCTGAACAATTCTTGAAATTTTAATTGAGGCATCCACCTTTCAATTCTAAAATGCCCGACATTCATTGAAAAATGATAATGATTAAACCTAAATCTGTAATTGTAATGCAGAATCCCTCTCTGATTTACCAATTTCATTTTTTAAATTTGTACATTATTTTAAATTATTTTACATGTTGTAGATGTACCAGTGTCAATTTGATAATTTTTATGAATTCGACTGTAAAACAGGAGTAGTTTTTAAGTCAAACTTATGAATAAGGAGCACGTCTTTTCATTGTGAGAAGTATCGATTGACGGATAAAAAATTGAAGAAAATCACCAAACAGTACAAATGTACACCTATCTTTGTCAGCACCGAGAAATTAATAATGCTGAAACTCAGCATTCATGTGTGAAGTGAACAAAATAGTATCTTCTTCTTACCGCAGTACACTTACCCTAATTAATTTTCCCTCTTGTTTCTCATTTTTTGCAGATGTACTCGTGTCATCCCAATGCCAGCTCTGTTTCTAAGTCAGGTCATTGGTGCCAGCCTAGCTCATAAGACAAATTTTCAAGTCAAGGATACCTAAGTCATGTTCTACATCTATCTATTCTGTTCAAGAATATATAATTGTTTCCTGTTCATTTTGTCTTCATTGCATTTTTCACATCCTTTTGATAAATGTGTGTCTGAACGTAGCACTCACTCGCCCACCTAGACCACAGTCCAAATTTTTACGTAGGAGTTAGTTCTCTATCAAGGGACTAATTTTTGTCCTGTGGAATGATTAAGCTACAGTGCTGAGATCACGGTCCAAATTAGCATTAATGCACTTCGATGGCACTAACAACGACAAATTCACTCTGATAATACTCTCCACAGTGCCAGATGCCCCTAAAAAATTCCCCCCTTTAGTTTTCGCACTAGTGATCCCCTCCTGTTACCTTTAATTTACGAAAAATTGCAACAATAGAATACTGAAAGCTTTAGTGAATAAGGTTCCTTATCAGTGGTGTGGAAGACAAGGCATGTAAGTGCAGTTCTTGGAAAAATTGAGGTGACAAAAGATTTCATCAACTCTAGTCCTAAAATATATTCAGTGAAAAAATCACTGTTAAAATCAAATGTATAATTGAGCTTGAACTTTCTTTCTGCCACAAGGCTCTGTGTAATTTCGAAACTTTAAACATGTAATCTTGAAATAGCAAAAACTGCACTTGCGCACCTTGTCCTCCAAGCCCCTACTGCGTGGTGTCATGTCTTGTTTAGCACCATTCTTTTTGCCTGAAAACTAACCTAAGATAAGAATTATTAATTCGAGTAACATTTTAAGCATGAAATTGAACCATCCTCTTTGAGGAGTCCAGAGACTTTTACGCCTGCTATTACTGCTTAAAAAATGTGCATTTTTACGGCTCAAGTTATTCTCAGAATATTGGTACTGGAATTCATTACCTTGGCCTAACTAGAAGTTAAATTAAAGAAAGACTTACTGAGGTGGTCCTCTCAGAATAGTGCCGATCACTGCTCTTCTTTGCATGAGAAATAGTGGTACATGACAAGCATTAAAAGCTTGCCTGCTGAAGGTCAAAGAGACAAATTGAACTTTTCATTGAATGTGAGGCTGGACTAGTTACCTAATATGTAACTGTCAAGGCTGAATGACTAAGTGGTTAAACATATTTAAAAAGTGGGTAAGTATACTTTGAAATTAATCTCTTACAAGTATTAGATTCATCCAGAAAAAATCTAGAAGTAGGAATTAATTTGGCCAGGCAGAGATGAACCTTAAGGGATCAACTAACCCCCTGAGTTTGCAGAAAAGGAACAAATAATATAAAGTTTATGTAAAACTTTAGAAGGTTGTAGCAAATGGAGGAATGTACGTTTCTGTATCACAGCAAGGAAACGCAGGTCTGGATTCAATAAGTTGTCTACAGGATGAAGCGCAGATATCTTGGCCTTGTTCAAAGGATCTGGGTTTGTCAACCAGGCCAATCAACCCTTAAACTGTAGCTAGAGTATCTCAGCTGCCACTTTTCGTGTCACTCACTACGAGATAATTGAGTTTTGTTGGCGTGAAAAAGTGCATGCGCCTGACCAAAGTGTCATTCTCATTATTAGCTGATAGGTCATCCTACACTGTGACCTCGCAACAGAATCTATATGTGGTTGCACTGCCTCGGCACCACCTTCTACATTACCTGTATTGACAGAATAGATGTAAGAGTTCTTCACTTTAATCATTGACAAAATGTCTGTGAAGGGAGATTAAGAATAAAATTTGAATCTATTAATTTACCTGAAGGTGTCAAAAAAATGTCATCATCCATCCTAGGAGAGTTTAACGAGACTTACAACAGGCTTTTCTAGAGACAGATTGCTTTCCAGCTCACATTAATACGAGATTAATGGCACACAATCTGAATTAAAGAGAAACATGCAGATGTCCTTCGGCATGTGGCAGTAAACATGCTTCAATGATATGAAAAGAGCCGCAAAATGATGGGTGCTTCAAAATGCACATGATCGCTGCATCCTAAGACACGATGAAAAGATAAGGATATCTGGAAGGTCACGATCGATCAAACTCTCCTCTTTATGTTATAAAATACTATTCACTCATCTCTTGCTTCCACAGCAGTGCCATCATGGGTTGCTGAGCAAAAATTAGGACAGAACGGGAGCTCAGTAAGAACTTACAGCACATTTCGATGGAAACTAGCAATTAATCTACCAATATACTGGCTACTACAAAGGCAAGATGACATTCAGTGTATAAATGCTTACGATGATAAATATTACTCAGTTGGGGTCAGGCGAACAAAATATTAATTAAAAAAGAACAAGAACGAGGGATCAACCATTGGGTGAACACATAATGGGTGACTATAATTCGGAAAAAACTTCGCGCACTCAATAGAGAAAAAATAAATGATAAATAAAATATCATTCGAATAACTTCACTTAAATTCCTGCAACTCCTTTAAGTGTGTTTTCCTAATTTTCACGAACTTATTACTAAATAAACAACGGAGAACCCGACAGTTCCCATAAGATGCCATGTATTTTGGTCTTTACCACGGATTCCTAACCTCTTTTTGCGCTGAAAGGTATGGGTAGGTGGTATTGAGCCGAACCGTACCAACCTCGTATAAGCGCATTGTTCGTTTACCTCGAGCTGGGGTGGGGACAGCTGATGCTCACTACCTCACCGGTGCCGTTTCAGTGTTCCCGCACTCATCGGTCAGTGCGGCATGCGAATGGAAGAGAAGTGGCTACCGCTCAATTTCACAGCGCACGGTCTACTCTATTCAATGTCTTTGGAGTGAGTCCAGCGCCACCCCTCTCGCTCTGCTCTTTCTTAGTCTCATTTTTTCGATTTTCATTTTTTTTTCTTTCTCTCTGAACTTTTAAGTACTAACTTACATAAAAACTTTCTCTTTCCATTATTCACTTACTTTTTTCACTTCAATTTTTTTTCTTTTCCTTTCTTTTCCCTTTTATCTTTTTACTCTTATTTTTTTTCTCTTTTTCTTACCCTTTTTTCTCATCTTTATTTCCAGTTTCCTTTTTCTTACGTTCTTGATTTTTTATTGATCTAATTCTTTTCTCTTTTGTTCTTTCTTCTATTTAATTTTTCTCTTATTTTCTTCTCTTTTCTAACCGTATTTTCCTTTTATAAAATTGATTCTCCATCGGCTGCGCGCAGGATTTTGATTAGACGACTGCGGTCGTTCCCACAGGAACTATCCTTGATTATGGAGGCATTCTTCTTTTCTCTGCACCTCTTCTCTTAGGATTAAAATATTATCTTCTTCAAAATCATATTTTTCCCCGGAGGGAGAAATGTGAGGAGATGCGAAAGTTTCCACGTTAAGGATCGGTCATGACCGGTCAACTTCGCTGGATGACGACTGCAGTGCCGAATCAGAGCTGTCAAGAGGTGCGCACGCGCAGACGGAGAGGAGAGCACGAGAGAGGTAACAGAGCAGAGCGCGAGTTTCTAGTATAATCGTTTCGGACGTTAAACTTGATGCGTGGACGCAATAGACATTCAAACCCAAGGATCTCGCACGAGTCGAACGATGCTTTATCATGCTTTTCCTCGTTACGATGAAATTGATATGTAAAAACATTGATCATTAAAGATGTAGTCGTCATCTATAACGAGTGAATTCTTGAAACCCTCCCCCCCCCCATTTCTACTCCTTTTGCTCTCGCGTCGGTGGCTCGATCCGACGGATTTATCCCTCGCTATCGCCACCTTCCTCGAGGACATCTTGGCTCGCGCGTTGGTGGCTGATCCGAGGGACACGTCCCTCGCTATCGCCACCTTCCCTGAGCCCCCCCCCCTCCTCTCCTTCCCCATTTTCTTCCAGAGTACTTCTGGCAACACCATGCATCATTACACTTCTTAAGAAGTTCATCGGTGGCATAGCGGTCTGAAAACTGTTCAACGACAGTTAAGTTCGAGTTCCGAATCGCCATGAGCCCACTTGTGTTTTTTCTTATAGTTTCATTGCATAAAGATTTCTCTGATGATTTTCTTTCACTCTCTCTGACTGCATAAGTAGGTATATCCTTTTTTGGAAAAAAGGTGAGATAAGAGGGAGATCATGGCCTCCTTGAAAACCTGATCGAGGGGGAAGAGTTACGCAAACCTGGCACAGGCTAAAATCGGTGCTAAGCGCACATTTATCAGAAAATATCAATGGGAACCGGCGAGGAGCGCTGATTAGAGACGAATCCTCAGAACGGTCCCCTTTCTTTTTTTGTATTCGGAGGCACCCCCAAATATTAATTCAATATATCAAGTGAGGCGTTCGGGGGGG